CCCCAAAACCCCAAAACCCCAAAACCCCAAAACCCCATGGGGTGAATAAATAGTTGATTTAATTTTAAGTTATAATTATTACCTTTGAAATGTACGATATATTTCAAGCAAAAACGGCAGGTAAGATCATAGCAACAATGGTTCTTGACCATCTGTGATGTTCCAGTCTCTAGCCTTTGGAGCATCTGAGTTGATAGCCAAGTCTCTTTTGCTGATTAATGCAGATTGGCTAAAATATCTAGCAAGCTAACAAAATTTTCACTTCATAATTTAATAGTGCGACTATAAAAATCAGCTTTGGAGTATACTTCAAGGCTACCAAAAGGACCTCAATAATCCAAGATCTTTAAAGCTAGTATCCTTAATAACTCTTGATGGGATGGGTCTAAATCAGAGCTCTTAGAGCCTATTAGAATCTTCCTAGGGCATAGCCTGAGGGTGATTACAAGTGTTATTTTAAGAAAAAATTGGATTTACCTTGAAAGCTGCATATATAGATTTCCAATAGGTGAACAAGTCTGATTGTTTATAGTGTTTTGAAAAGATATCGCAATATCCATGAGTGAAGGTCTACTTCTCATCGTTTTGGCAAATTTGTACTCTTTCCAATTTGGTTCATTTTAATAATATTAATTTAGAAAAAGCAAGTTTGTTCCAGAATAACAGGATCTTGCCTGTTCCCTACAAAGAAATATCTCTTCAAAATTTCTGCTCATGAAATTGTCAGAAAATTCATGGATTTTTCCAAAATTATGAAATGAACACTAATGAAAAATACTGAATCACTGGAGAAGATTCATTGAAGAAGCCAGTCATAGAGCAAAAAGCCTCCAAACTGCCTCCTTTGTTGACTAGCAATTTGAATAGACATGAGTCTTCAGGAAGTCTTGATAGTTTAGTAGATAGCCAAACCGAACATTTGCCTTCATCACAGATTCAAAATTTATCAAGAAGACAAATGAAGATGATTGAAAGAAATTTCACTAACTCAAGTGCAAGGAAAGATGTCATTTATAAAGCCATCCTCAGGTTCTTCAGAAGAGCCTGTCAGTTTGGAGTCAAGCAGATAGAATGCAGGTACGATGGATATGAACAAATTAATCAAGTATCTTGTCATCATCTGGAGGAGAAGTCTTCTGTTTTTCTCCAGGAAGTACTAGGGCTGACAGTGACTCCTGAGCTTGAAGAGATCTTTTCAATAATAATTTCTTTTAACCCTGACAAGACTAACCTTGCCAGGTCAAGCTATATTTTTAGCAGTTTATTCACTGGAAGCATCACCAAATTTAATCGTAAAAAATTGCAAAAATTGTTTGAGAACAAATTATTCGCACGAGTGTTCCTAGCTTTCTGGAAAAATACAGAGAGGTTCTCAGAAATGGTACTAAGCCTAAACTCGAAGAGGGATGAAGAAATCAATCAGAGAGCCTTCAAATATTATCTGGATAGGCTATGCCACGCATGCAATCAGACTTTGGGAGAGTAACCCAGAGAGATTAATGATGCTAATTTCTCAATAAAAATTTCTAAAATCGTGACTAGGTAGCGGACTATCTTTTCTTTTTACTTTTTTATTTCGCGCAATATTTTGGGATTATCTTGGTTTAATACTTATAATTGACGCATTGGTTATCGAACTTACGGTTAATTGAGCTGAGGTGAGGGATGAGTATAGCTGCTATTTTAGTAGAATTTTTCAGCTGCTCAGTCTTCGTCCTGAGCATGAAAGCAGTCAATAAGATATATATCATTTACAAATAATGAGTATTTATAAGAGCTTTAAGGCTTCTTGAAAAATCTGAATTACATTTAGTGGATTAACTATCACCCTATAGAATTAAGTAAATCTAATATTTTTACAGCTTGAAAGAAAATATGAAAAAATAATGGAAATGAAGAAGGCTTAGAGAATTTTCTCTGGTGATCTCCTCATAAAACACGTTGAACTAGCACCATTCGAATTACTCAATAAATTTTGAAATAGTACTTTATAATCTTAACCGAACCTCCTAATTTTTGATTTCCTGAACACTTTTAGTATACTTTTCATGAACTTTTCCGACAAAATTACACTCAACTCCTCAAAACTCCACTATCCCTACTATTTCCTTCCCAAATCCCCCATCTTCCTAACCTTCACTTCCGAACTCCAAAAACCCCAATAGAAAAATTAGCGAAAGTTATTAAGAAATTTCCACTATTTGGTAATCCTAAAATATTTCCAGATTATTAAATATGGCAGTCTATTTGCCTAGGGAATTTACTATTTTTCAACCCAAAATCTGGGCTTTAGCCCAGATTTTGGGAAATTAGTGCTTTCTTGGAAAAATAAAATTTGATTTTTAATAATTAATGCTAATTTTTCCGGATTGTGGCTGTTTAATGACAATGCAGATAGTATAGTATAGCTGTGGTGCTGATGAGATAACACTGAGCAATTAAGAGTCAAGGAATTTTAGGAAATTAGGTAAGACTTGGATGAAAAGCTGAAGGAAAATGAGTGGATTGTGGAAATTTGATCTATAGGTCTTGAAGTGGAGGTCCTGAGAGGTATTTATATTAGTATCCTTCTGAAAAATTTCTTGCGCATATATAAATAAGCTAATGTTTGAGAGTTCAAAATTCTGAGCAAATAACCCAGAGTTGGCTTCTTTTAAGCTTAACGGTGTTCTTTTACCATGAACATCTTCTAAATTAGAGTTTATATTATAAAGCTATCTTTCCAAGAGCAATTCATCAAGAAACGATCTGTCGAAAAATTACATAGATATGTGGATGGCAAATTTAAAGTTCTACTAAAAATGGTCTTTCATTTGGCTTATCAGCTTTAAGCTCTCTTAGAAGAAGTCACAGTAATGTTAGTAGTGGGTTCATAATTTTGTAATAAATTTTATTAGCCCTATTGGCTGGCTAACATGTTAGATGAATTGAGATGACTTATAAAGGGAACAATTTACAGTAACCTCTTATACGAGTCTTTCAGGATAAGTTACTATTATCCTAAATTTTTCTTTCCATATTTAGTGCAAAGTTCTTTTGTCACTATTAGCAGAGATTTCCTATGATATCCAGTTACATATATCGCAAAGTTATCAAGAAGTAATAACCCAAGAAAGAAACAAACCAAATTCTCAAGAGCCAGGGTGTCCTGAGATCCTTCCTTCTGTTTTTCCTAAGATGCTCATGAAAATTTAGAGCCCCTGAACATTATTAAGAGTAGGATTTCATCATCATCCACTAACTTGGAATTCGTTCAAGGCTTAAATATTCCTAGTGCAGGAAGTACTGAGAAATTTTGAGGAAATAATTAAGATTTGTGAGAGAATTTGAATTGGGATTATTCAAAAATTAATGTTCCTCATTTGAATATTGGAGTTCCAGACAGTCAGGCTCTGAAAGTACTACAAATCTCATAATTCCTAAAGTGAACTTCAGTTTTGTTCCTAAAGAGATTTTGGAAATCTTCCTGAGCGACCGAGGATAGGGAACTTATTGTGTAGGAGTAGGAGAGGTGGTAGTGGGGGAAGGGATTGGATGGGAATTGAAGATGATGGGTGGAAGGAGGGAATGGGTGGTGGAAGGAAGGGGTGAGAGGGGTTGGGAGGGGAGAAGAGAGGGGATTTAGGAAGGGAGAGGCATGAATTAGACGATTTAGGATACTTTGGTGATTTTTAGATATTCAGAAATGGGTATCCTCATTATATCTGTAGATTTCGGTGATATTTCAAATTTTATATAAAAAATTACCGATTCTCTCATTAACCCATCGCCTCCAACCCTCCAATCGCTCACCAAAATCACCTCATACTTCTCCGAACCCTGCTGATCCCTCCAAACCCCCACTCACCACTTACTCTACCTCAGTTCTTCTCTCACCCTCCCTTCTGGATGCAAATTCCAGCACAAACTTCATATTTTCCCACTATCAATAATTTACAGTTCAACCAAAGACTTCAGCATGGGGTTTTGGGGTTTTGGGGTTTTGGGG